TTTTTTTTAATTCATTCAATCTGACGGCGGAAAAAAAGGTGTGGGGAAGGAAAAAAGGGGTGTGTAGCACCACTCAAAAACAATACATATCATATCAGTGGAGATCTTTCTATATATTACAAAGCCGAAAATCCATACTAAATGCCAGATAAATATACCAAAAGCTATAACCCTCATCAACCTGGCTTTCCTCGAGATCTGATTAATCTTGGTGAAGTTCCTCCACGGGTGGTGGTGCAAATCTCACATTCGGTCGTGCCACCATAACAGGGTCATCGGCAAATAGTGCTTTGATAAGTGAAGGGGTTCTCAAGGGCCGGCGACCTGTCATTCGTGGGTAAACATCTTCTAGAAAGTAATAGGCATGACCGGCAATCATTCCCTGATTAAACAAAAAGAAAAAGGATTAGCACATGAAAACCTCGAAACCTTAAAGCATCGTGCAGATTCATGAACGATTTATGTGTGAATTAACAGTAACACAACCGATTTTGAAACTACCAGTATACTAAATTGATATATCAATAACAGTGCAGAGTCCTAGAAAAGATAACGCACCAAAAGATCCACCCAAGGGCTAGCTCCGACAAAGACGGAGAATGTCAGAAGAACCTGGCGGAAAAACAAAAGAATTGTTTCAGGATAACTCGTGTAAGATTAATTCCAAAGAGATATACGTTCAACAACAGAAATCAAGAAAACAATTCAAGATTACTGACCCAAGGTAGGTAAGCTGCTGTGAAGGTAAAGAGGCCCAAGAAGCTCATATGAATGAAAGGATTTTGCTTGCTCCACACATAGACCTGTAAAACAGGATGCATAAGAGTCCTCTAAAAACAATACGAACATACCAAACTTTGGAACAAATCCATTGAAACTCAACAAAGAAAATGTATCGAACCATCATGAACGTTAGTGAGTTGCTGAGGAATATAATCTTTGCAAACGACGCAGACAAATGAGGTATCATCCCTCCAACCAGAACTATCCCAGTCAACATAGTGGCACCAAATAAGAGCATATAAAAGAAATCCGCAGTCCGTCCTCGAAAAGAGTTCTCTTCAAGAAGCTTGCAGTACCGAGCAAGAAAGAACATGTGGAACATGAAATCCAAGTCTGGCAATGCCAAATATAAAACCATTTCAAGAAAAAAAAAAAAAAAACCAGTTACAACTAACCGACATGAATTTCGCTCCCAACAAATGAAAGTATTTTAAAAGTAGATAGTAGCAATTACCCATTTTCCGGAAGTAAAGGAAATTAGTAACGAGGCGCCAGAATTGATACTGTTTGACCACTAGATTAGGGTTCAAGTACAGATTGTGAGGAGAAATTATCTGCGAAAGTTCACCGTTAAACGACGAAAACAATCAGTAAACAAAGAGAACGAAGTAACTACAAGAACTACCTAAAACCTTCCAAACTTCCAACAAATCCTATGAAGCATGAAAATTTCAACACAGAATCCACTAATTGTAAGATTTTATAGGGTGAGTGTAATCAAACCTTAGTGTATTTATATATATGCCGACATCAAGATAAGAGATTATATGGCCATATAGATAAATGGAGGGATTGAAGGTTGTATTGTATCAAACACCAGAGAAGAGAAGGCTAAACCTAATATCCATGCATGTCTTCGACAGCAAGTATGTTTTCTTTATTCATTTTAAGGTTTACTGGGGTTGTATATTATTTTATGTGGGTTGTAGTTCAATGGCTTAACTGATTCTCTATTGGCCGTGAAGTATGAGATAAGTTAACACTAATAACTACTAAATCCAGAACAAATTAGAGAAAAATAAAATAAAATTAATGCTAAAATTTAATCCCAGCTGCTAGAATTTAACCCAGCTGCCAGATTTTAAGCTCCATTAAAGTACAAGATAACAGTAATAAACAATTAAACATATTTACATAAAAGCACAAATTTCGAAAATGATCATTCCCAAACAAATGTATACAAAAGCCATAACATTCAGCTGCCCAAGTAAAAATCAAAGCTAGAACAAACAAATTTCTAAAGTTCAGTCAAAACCCAATTGAAATTAGACAAAATCAGATAAACCCATTTGCACAGAGCTAATAGGGACGATTCTAGAGCGAGAAAGATTGAAAATTTTCGATGAGAGAGAGAGAGAGGCATACGTCGAGGGTGCAACCGATGTTGGTGAGAACAGCTGCGGTGAGGTACGAGCGGGTGATGACGGGCATCTGCTTGTACCATTCTTCGACTGCCTGAGCCATGATTATGCAATCAATTTACAGCTCGAAGCAAAATCCGACCAAATTTTTTCAGGGTTTGGAAATTTTGCAGAAAAAAATAGATGAGATTTTTGAGATGCGAGGGATTCAAAAGGAAGAGAGGAGACGATAGTCACGAGAGACGGGTATTGCTCTTGTGTGTCAAACCTGTACTGGGATGACAAATCAAGAGCCAATCAGAGAGCAAGTGACTGTCACGGACCAACCATCTTGTTCCTCTCGTGTTGGACACGTAGACGTTGATCGCTACTGTTTTGTGACTATTGAGTTTTTGGGCTCTCAGGCCCATGGGCTGCATACATTGGAATCATCTGTGTTTTAGTTGGATTTTTATTTTGTCAATATTTAGTTTGGGTTCTGACTTTTAAGATCATCTCCAACTCTTGGACTAAAATCTAAAATTATTAGCCTACAAAATTTAGGTTTTAGCCCACAAATAATTTTTCTGCTCCAACTTTTCTGCCTAAATTTTTTAGCCTGAGATTATTAAATAATAAATTTAGGCTAATTTTTTCTTTTAAAGTAATTTAAAAAAAAATTATGTATACTATCATAATTTAATTTTATAAACATTTTAACCTAAAAATATTTAAATTTCAATAAATATTGAAAAATTACTAAATTAATTTTTTTAATTATTTTAACTGTTAGATTTAAATTTGGACCATTGGATTTATTTTACCCGATTAAGCACAAGATTGGAAAAAAATAGTAACTCGGCCCAGTCCAAGCCCAATACAAAATCTCAATAGTTCAGGCCATATCTAAAAAACCTAGGGTTTCAGTGAGCCGCCGTTACTATAAATATCTCTCCTAGGGTTTTTCCTCCCCACCCTTTGCCGAAACCGATCAACAGAGAGAGAGTGAGAGAGAAGAGAGAGAAACCAGCCATGGTGAAGTTTCTGAAGCCAAACAAGGCGGTGATCAACCTCCAGGGCCGCTACGCTGGGCGCAAGGCCGTCATCGTGCGCGCCTTCGACGATGGCACCCGCGACCGTCCCTATGGCCACTGTTTGGTTGCGGGGATTAAGAAGTACCCAGGCAAGGTCATCCGCAAGGACTCCGCCAAGAAGACGGCGAAGAAATCCAGAGTGAAGGCCTTCATCAAGCTCGTGAACTACCAGCACCTGATGCCCACGCGCTACACCCTGGATGTGGATCTCAAGGACGTCGTCAACGTCGAGTGCTTGCAGACGAAGGACAAGAAGGTCACTGCATTGAAGGAGGTCAAGAAGCGGTTCGAGGAGCGGTTCAAGACCGGGAAGAACAGGTGGTTCTTCACCAAGCTCAGGTTTTGAGGACCTTTCCCTACGGCGCCGCATCGTAAATGGGTCTGTCTGATTTTGGGTTTATGTTTTTTCGAGTTTCATTGAATTTTGAAATGAAATGAGACGGTTTTATGGATTTAGTGGACTAATGTTTAGCTAAAATGATTAGATTTTGTATTATTTTGGGTATTTATGGATTTTGCTTTATTTTATATCAACATTGTTCTTCTGTGTTGTTTGACATGAGTCTTTCCTGCAGTTACTTTACGCTTATCATTCGTGTATTTATTCTGTTTCAATTTGGATAATTAGGAATCGGGTTTCTAGAGTTGTAGGCTATTGAGCAGCTGTGATGCGTGTAATGTTTCGATTCAAGTTCGATTCAGCGGATTAATATTCTGCTTATTGTTCACTGATGCATTTTTGTTTAATGGAATTGTCCAAGTGTCGTGCATTTGGATTTTCCAGTGTTTAGGTTCGATCGTGAACAAATTGTCTGTTGTGAGGCATCTTGTTTGTCAACTTTAGTGCTAGTTAATAGAAATAGTATGATGTGTTGAATTTTCAATTGATAGACTTTGTTTATCTTTCTGTATGATGTGTTGAATTGAATCTTCAACTGATGTCTGGTGATTGTAAGTTTTGCAGATTGCTGCTTTTGTAAAACGCTTTATCGCTCTTTGTTTAGGGATTTTTGTTGTCTGTGGTCTCTATGTTGACTGTCGAGTTTCTTGGTTTAGTGGTAGATGCCCTAATCATCTCATGTCAAAATGTTTAGATTTGTGATTTAACAGTCGTGAATAGAAGTTGTTGCTCGTTTTTGGATGTTACTTATAATTACGTGGTTCTTGTGTTGCGTTGATCATGAAAACATCTGATTTTAAACTGGTGCTAGCATTTGATGGATTCGTTTGCTGTCGTGAAATTTTGGTTGAAAACATTTCCATGCCATTCTTTTCTGGATGATTTTAATGTGTGGTCAAATTTAAGAACAGTACTTTTTGTTCATAGACTTATTCTGTTGGGTTTAAATCTATTTCCTCTCTGCTTGAGGTCCTTGACTTCTGTCAAAAACTTGCCTATCTCAGTTCCATGAAACAGCTACCCTTGTTTCATGTAACTGGTTTTTGACATTTGGTGCAGAGTAAATTGTAGCAATGGTTAACCAACTTTAATCAAATTGGAGCAGTGGTTCCTTAACTAAAAATTCATTACTATTGGTCTTTCAACTCATCAAAATTTATAGTTACGGTTATTTTCGTCACCTTAATTAGAATTTTGTCAAAATAAGTTATATTGGAAAGACCATTGCTACAATTGGTTTAAAGTTGAGGGATCATTGCTTCAATTAGGTTAAAGTTGGTTAAAGTTGATGAATCATTTCTCCAGTTGAATTAAAGTTGAGAGACCAATGGTAATGGATTTTTAGTTTAGGGATCATAACTGCACGTTTTGATGAGTTGAGGAATCAATAGTAATAGATTTTTAATTGGCCATCGATTATGTTAAAGTTAAGGGACTATTGCTACAATTTACTCTCAGTCTTGGAAGTAAACTATTGGAATGCTACACGGGTGGTGATTTCACGCCTGGTTTCCCCTTCTGCACCCGTCTCCTTGTTCGTAACCCTCGAGTATCCTTTGATTCTTTTGGTGATTCATTCAATTCAAGAGCTGTAAAAATAAGAGTGCAGAGAAGGTCAGTGTGCGGAAATCACTTTTGTTGTAACGGAACTCTACAAATTTAAATAGGAATCTTAGTTGGTATCATCTGCTTTTATTCATTAAATACATGATATATCTTCAGACATTGCTTAAGAGAAACAACAAAGGCACAACCCTTGTCTGCAAATTCCCCTCCTATATGCAAAACAAGCTTCAAAGGGATAAAAATCCATCTCTCTCAAGTTATTCACCAAAACACTTCCGCGTATGAGCTTTTCGAGTTGCCTGACCGAAGTCCCCGCTACTCTATGCCACTACCGGCCTTGGTGCTTTGCCACTCCACCGCCACCACCAGAACCAGAGAAGCCTTTTCTACCAGTTGAAGGACCAACAGCCCCAGTCGGATATTACTCAGTTTAGTATTTACTAGCAAAAATGGCCGCGCGTTGCTGGACTTGAATGCACCAGCTTTAACCACATGAATAAGACATTTAACCTAAAAAAAAAAAATTCAACACAATCATGAACAAACAAAAGGGATAGATGAGTGAAAGGTGTCGGTAAGATGAGCGAAAGATTTCGGTAAGATGAGCAGTTCGGTTTTTATATACATTCAACCGAACTGATTACAAAAGATACAATTGCAAAAAAAATACTCTGTTTCCTAAGATACAGAAGCAACATGCATTTAACACTTATATTGCCCTTCAAGTTAAGATAGCAAAATATATGTCCTGCCAGACACGTGTTTTAACAGCTAAACAAAAAAGCAAAAAAAGTGTGTTGATCTTGTTTCAGCAGCTAATCTTTCAAGCAATAATGTATGGATTAATGTGAAATATATGAGTTCCTATTTGGTTTTTATTGACTGATGCTTCAACATCATCCACCTAATTCATATCACATCCATAGATACCTGAGAACGCTTATTCCTACCACCATTGCGTTGTTACTTTAAATGTATTAAACCTTAAAGACACGTCCCAATATAAACATAAATTAAATATAACTAAAAAAATACAAATAAAACAAACAATAATCAGCAAACAAAAACCCTAAAACATTTAGATTTTTCAGATGAAACCCAATTTCCACACAATAAATTCAAAAAAATCCTATCAAAGAAAATCAAATGCTAAATCCAAAACCTACATTCTCATCAGGAAAAAAAAAGGAAAAAAAAAAAAAACATGAATACCTGAGAAAGTGTGGAGCCAATGAGCTGGAGGCGGTGGCGGTAGATGTCGCGTGAGTCGTACTCAACTGCAATGAGCTGACTCAGAGCAGATTTGTATGGGTTTTTGGCGGCGGTCCACCACGGGCTCTCGTACAAACTGGAAAGAAGATCAAATGAATACCAAAGCAGTGTAATGTTGTAATTATGTAAACACCAATTAATTAATTAGATACCTTTTGTTACAGACCAGAAGTTAAATCCAATAGATACATACATACATATGCAGTTACAGTAATGTTGTCATTATGTAAACACCAATTAACGAATTAGATACCTTCTGCAATTTGAGAAGCAAGAGTTGGCACATAGACTCCAGCATAAGACTCCCGAAATATACAACGGGTTTGGTTGAAACTCTGGGAATTGCTGAAACCACTGTGGTTAGATAAACAACACAGAATTCTTAGCAACAATATAGAAGAAGAAAACGAAACGAAAAAGAAAACATATAACAGCAAAAATACACAACATTGCTTTTTATACATCAATTACTTAGACATTAGTCTCCTTTATAATCAATAAGCATATGATCCGTACCATCACAACCTGAACCGTTCGAACCGGAGGGGATGAATCGGCTAAAGAGCTTTCGCCTTCGGAGAGCTCGAACCAGAGGTTGTGGACGTTCTTAGATCCCCAACACAAAACCCCATGAACCGTCTTTTATTCTCGTGACTTGCACATTTTATCTTCTTTGCGGCCACAACAAGTTTTATACAGTCCTTTTTATCGTCCGATGCTCGTAATATATATATATATATTTTTTTTAATCTAGAAGTTTGGGAGTAGATGTCGCACTTGGTGCGATGGCAAGTACCTTCGCCCATGAGCGGTAGGTTTCGGGTTCGAGACTTGGGAGTAGCCTCTCCATAAAATGGGGGTAAGGCTAGCCGACATTCAACTCTCCCAGACCTTGCGTAAAGCGAGAACCTTGTGCACTGGGTACGACCTTTTTTTTAGAAGTTTGGGAGTATTGCTATTTAATAATCAAAGGGTTCATGAACTTGAACTGGCTACGAAGTTTGGTTGGTATTTGAGGGAAGTTCGACTTTGGTTCTTATAGTTTCAATTGTTACAATTGAATGACGTAGATTTTCAGAAATTTTCAAACATAATTAATACTTAAATATGATTTTTCCCTTAAATTTGGAATACTTTCTCGTTGAAAACTAATTATTATTATAATTCACTTAATTAAGTTGTCGTCATTGAATTGTAAGTAATAGTAAACTAAATGTGTCAAATCATGACAATTGAAACTACAATAATCAATAGGTAACTATTTTTCTAGTAGTTAGACTATTCTTCTCCGATTTACCGCATTTTGAATTCAAGCACCCTAAGTAGTAATAAATCATTTGTAATAAAAACCACGATAAAACCAATAAACTCATTAAACATCACTTAAAATGGCAAGAAATTAAAGAGGAATACATAAAATAGTTTAAAACATTTGTACAATATTGTGAGAACTCAAATCAAGTACAATCCACCAATGCTTGGAATACAAAAAAAAATAGAATCGCCACAACTAAATTTTATTATCTAATTAATCTTATTTTAATTTGCCATGTTTAAACTAAAACTAAGCAGCCCTTGCAAGAACTTCAAGCCTTTCTGGCACATCAGCTGGCTCAATGAAGAAAGCCCTCCTCAGAGATCTCGGCACCGTACTGTCAACACTCCGTCTTCATATCCGGCTGAAATCCGTTCGATATCGACCCGGCCCGGAAGCCGGAACTTCCTCATGAAGGTCCTGCTGCTAGGCTGATCCGTGGACTCCTCCTCGATCCTATTATGAGGTACACTGAGTCCTCCACTTCTACTTTTATGTCCTTGTATAAACTACATCTCAAAGCCGTTGAAATAACAAAGTGTATCGCTCTAGATACGAGGATGATGTGTTGTATGATTTTGTTAAATTCCCCCTTATACAAAGGAAAGGGAGGAAAGAAAATTTATTGTTGTTTGGTGATTGTTTAGTTAGTTTTCATTGGTGGATATTGAAGTTTAGTTGGTATATGTATTGAAGTTTGGTTGTTTGTATATTGAAGTTTGGTTGGTACGTGTATCAAAGTTTGGTTGTATATTAAATTTTGGTTGATGTGTGTATTGAAGTTTGGTTGATGTGATTTGTTCGGTTTTTTAAATTTTGTCCTAATTTAGATTTATTTAAATTAAAACATTCACAAAATTAAATTAAGATAACCTAACTCAAAGTATTAAAAAAGAATTCTTACCAAAAAATAAATAAATTAACACAACCTTATGTTTATTTTTGTCTTAAGTCCGTTGTCTTTTTTTCTTATCTACAACCTAATAACTGTGTGTCTTTTTTCTTCGCTACAACTTGATAATATAATTCAACTAGGAAAATTACCTAATTATGTTTGTATGTAATATTTCATACGTTTTGTATTACCAAAATTACCTTCAAATCAATTTTATTTGTTGGCTTCCTAAGATCAAATCACCATGAAAAAGATCATCTACTCGACATGAACTCACCAAACCCACAGTAGTAGTCAAATGGGACTTGAATCCATGACTGGTCAAAGAATAAATTGATGGGAAGGGATCCTCTCCGGATCCCTTCCACCAATCTGAACCCTTCCACCAATCTGAACCCTTCAAATTTGATTCAACGACTAAAAATAGAAGACCCCTTTAAAATTTATAATAACTTTAGCCGTTTGATCAAATTTTAAGGACTCGGATTGGTGGAAGTAATCCATTTCCATAAATTGATATCAAATTCAACATTTACAATATTTGAACCTAAAATCCTAAACACCAACCCTAAACCATAAGAGCATCTCCAAGATCACCACCTTCAAAACACATTACGCTCCACCAACCCTAAACCATATGATAATTTGACGTGCACATTTTTTTATTTAATTTAATATTACGTAAAATATTTTTATGATGCTCCACCAACCCTAAACCATATGATAATTTGACGTGCACCTTTTTTTATTTAATTTAATATTACGTTTTCGTAAAATATTTTTATGAACATTAAGAAAAAGAATTCTAATTCCGACACGAATTTTTTTTTTCTTAAAAAATAAACGTAAATAGAATGGCATCATTAACGACTTATGTCATCATTAATAATTTCCGATCGAGATAAGATTTCAACTTTTTGCAACTGTTGGATTGATTTTCTTATCTTAATCTCATCTGTCGGATTGTTATCTCTCTTTTTTCACTATAAAAGTGAGGTCTCTATATTTTTCACCTCCATCATTTTTTAATACATTCTTCAAACTACCCTTCAAATAGCCAAACTGCAATGCTATAACATGATAGCTCATCTTCCGTTGACGAAGCTATGATGGTTAAGACGCCGATTGCGATAAGAAAATCATAGGCAAATTGGATATCATTTTTGGAATTAAGAGTTTTTGGGATTTGAATAAGTAATACTTTAACTGATTATTTGGATCCACACCAATTCATCTGCTATTTCTTCAACAGATTTTAGTTAAATATATGTGGTTTTTGCTTGCTCTTTTCAAACTTATCACGAAGCTTGTTAAATAGATTTTATTCATGTATAAAAACCACATATATTGAACTAAAATCTATTCAAGAAATAGCAAATGAATTTGTGTGGATCCAAATAGTCAGTTAAAGTATTACTTAACCAAATCCCAAAAACTCTTAATTCCAAAAATGATATCTAATTTGCCTACGATTTTCTCATCGTTGTCCTAACCATCATAGCTTGGTTGTCATCAACGGAGCTATCATGCTACAGTTTGGCTATTTGAAGGGTAGTTTGAAGGATGTATTAAAAAAAAAATGGATGCGAAAGATATAGAGACCTCACTTTTATAGTTAAAAAATAAATAAATAAATAGATAACAATTTGACAGATGAGATTAAAATAAGAAAATCAATTCAACAGTTGTAATCGGTACAGAGGAAGAGGGAAGAGATAAGGATGAAACCTAAACCCTTTCGAGGGCTTCACGACGTGTCTGCAAATTTTCAAAAAGCAACACGACACCGATAAAAAAAACAAAGTCGCAAAATTAGGGTTGTGGTAAATTGAAGAATTGATTGGTTTGGTTGAGAAACAATAGCAATTAATCAGGTCTGCGGTTTGTGTTGATGTGAGAGAGGGTGGAGATAAATGAGAGAATTATTTTGGTTTCTAGGGAGAGGCTTCTAATTTTCTTGAGAGACATCTCTCATCTTTTAGAGAGACGAGAGAGAGACCTAGGGTTTCTCAATTTACTCAGAAATGAGAGAAGGGCATTCAGATATAAGAGTAGCCTTTCGACTCTAGGGAGCTCATTTTCCTGATGCACGACACGTGTGAGCATCCTAAGCTTCTGTGCTATCCGAGGAGTAACGGTCTGAATTAGAGAGAGGGTTTGGGCTCTGGGCTTGAGGTCATAATAGCTGAAATGAGAGTGGGTGTAACTATTAGGGTTTTTCAAATGTCAAATGATGCTGCTACACTAACGTATACTGTGGTTGTTGCAAATGACACAAGTGTGGCCTTGTACGTGTTGGTTAGCGCGCCTTCATTAGTTTTCAGGTCACGAGTTCAATTTTTCACGGCGACTGTTTTGTGTTTCTTTTTCATTCTTTTTTCCGAGTATATTTTTCTTGCGTGTCATCGTGCAATACTACTCATTATGATTTTATAGCATGTATGCTTAATGTGTTTTAAAATTTTAGACTTGTTGGATACTTTTTTTGCATTTTATCATTCTTTTATTATCTCTTATCCATGAATTTTATACAAAGTATAATTTTTTTGTAAGTGTCAATATGCATTTATTTACAAGATATACAAGAAATTTACCTAAATCCGCCTAGACCTGCCTAGCCGCCCGACTAGCGCCTAACGTTTTTTTAGAAACTTGGATTAAACAAACACACATCACCAGATAAAATGCTTGGACTCCAAGTTCCACTCTCCTTGTAAGTTCCACTCTCCTTGTATTTCTCCATGTTTCACATTCCATGGGTTTTTTTTTGGTTGAAGTCTTGAAGATAATAAAGACTTGGACATGCCACTAGAATGGTTGTTGATATTGGCACTGTAAACCTTTCATCAAGAAAGTGAAATATATGTAAAGAGTACATAATGAGAATTTTGAGTGTCAACAATAACGCCCTTTTGAGAATTACGAAAAACTAATACACTCCCGAACCAACGTCAACATGTTAAAGATTTTCCTAAGTGGACGAAAAGGGGTCACCTGGGTACGGATTGAATTGAGGAAGTGGTAGTAAATGGCAAATTTTTTATAATAGCACCCTTTACACACTATTTTCATATTACACTATGTCCAACATTTTATGAAGTGTCCGCATTAAACGAATCTCATCACCGATGGCCGATGGCCGATGCCACCGCCCTCATCTCCTCTCCTTTCCACCAAGAACAACCTTTCGAGCCTTTAGTTTGCTAAGGAACGTGAGTTCCATCCATCCCTGCCAGATATACGACTCTATCCAAACACCACTAAAGTTTTTGCAAAATCCGAACACTGATCGAACCCAGTACAATCAAGTTCTAGCTAATAAAAAAAGTTTCGGGCATTGCATTGAAAGTCCAATGCGATGCCCTTGATCTGAAGAGCAAGTTTTTTTTTTTTGTTTGAAGTCTTAAAACCATATCATATCTAAGCAGAGTCAATAGTAGTGTTAAAACAATTCAACGATCCACGCCATTCATCTCAACATAATATCTAAGCAGCCCAGAGTCATCAGACCACTGACCCAGAGATCTTCAATGCGTCCAGCCTCTCTCTTGTTCCACAGTAGGTCATGCGAAGAAATCCGTCTTCATCCCTGTTTTTCTCATCAATCGCAGACATCAAGGTTCCTGTAACAACATTGGAGGAATTACTGAGAGGTATTAAATCCACCACTAATTTGGGCACAAGACGGATATTATCAAGTGGCACATTAATTTGGGCACAAGACGGATATTATCAAGTGGCATAAAACAAAAATGAGTTGAAGCTCTCCTCACCATTGGGATGTTCAGTGTTCTTGAAATAGACAAACAAAGGATCTTTAGATGCAACCTTTGTCTGAAGATACCCAACAAACTCCTCAAGAGTGACATCACCGTGGACTTGGTATCTGCAGTCAAAAAACACAGGAGACACAATAAAACTACATGAGAACCCCTTCTTATAAGACCAACTCTTATATATCTCCCTTCTTTTTTCATTCGATTTCGTTAACATATGAAATACCAAGAGCATGCACGAAAACGGGGGCAATACAAACCATGATAACCAAGGCAAAAAGGAACCGGAAACTAACTTCTTTGCATCAAGTTCAGGAAGGCCACTGCTTCCATCCTTCTCCACAATCACCTGCAGGGATGCTCGTATTAGAACATGGTATAGCCCCGTCTTAATAAGCATAACTGATGTGCAGTGAAATTCTCACCGGTACATGAGACGGATACCACTGCCTCATTTTCTTAGCATCTGAAATACGCCGTTCCAGCACCTCCAAAGTACCCCTGAACATTTGTCAAAAACATTGATGATAAATCAGCAATCCCATTCCACTGTAGCAAATACGAATCAAGAGAGGAGAACTAAAGCGCAAGGGAGGGACTGGGCAACTAACTTTGTAAAATCATTGAAAATTCCAAGCTTCTCCGCGATCACGTGCATAGAGGCTCAAATTAGAACAGAGTGTATCCACTGAAAGTGTGGGGCGTAAACTTACTTAATTCAGCTTAAATTCTTACCTCATCAAATGAGCGTTTTAAAGCATTCCTACCGTCTAACTCTTTAATCCTCTGCAAGAAGGCTCAAATTACAACAGGGAATATCCACTGAATGACTAGGAAGTACATGTGTCTGATTCACTGAAATTCTTACTGGTATATCACCGGATCGAAAGACTACTCCTTCCTTTTTCCAATCTGCACTGTAGGTCACGCGAAGAAATCCATCATCGTCCTTGTTTTTCTCATCGATAGCAGACATCAAGGCTCCTGTAACAACATTGGAAGAATTAGAGTCATGCAACCGTAGACAATCTGGGATCAAGATGGATATTATCAGGCTGACCTAAAACAAGAATGAATTGCAGCACCGCTCACCAGTTTCGGGGACTGTGTTCTTGAAATAGACATAGATAGGCCATTCTGGTTCAAAGTCAGAAAGAAATGACCGAATGCAATCAGCAAATTCTGGGAGAGTCATATCAGGTTCGAGTAGGAAGCTGCAGTCCAATGCAGGGGACAGGCAACAGAACCATGTGAGAAGTGAGAACCCTAAGGCAAGCTAGGGAGGCATCCTATTCCATTGTAGCAATATATATCAAAGACGACCAAAGCAAAAAGTAAAGGGAAAACGAACTGGGTCACATTAGTAATGTCAGGAATGTCACTGCTTGGATCCTTCTGCACAATCACCTGTAAGGAGGATGAAATTAGAACCTGGTATTATGCCTCCGCTGAATGCGTGCATTGGAGGAAGTGAACAGATATGATGGGGTAGAATTCTTACTGGTGTACAAAGTGGATGAGCGTCCCTCAATTTCCAAGCATCTAAAGTACGCGGTTTGTTTGCCTCCAAAAACCTCCTGTACCTGTATCAGAAGCGCATAGATGAAAAAGGAAGAGACATCCAATCCTATTGCAGCAACGCAAAATAAAGATAACTAAAAGCAAAAAGGGGGACAAGAACAAACTCACTCCGCCTCATTGTAGTGTTGAGGATACCGACGACATTTCTCTGCGAAAGATTCCTCGTCCGCAAGGGCAGCCTTGTCAGAAATCACAATTAGTGCATATAGGGAGGTCAAGCCAGAGAACGGGCATTGGTAAAAACATATTTGGTTCGGCTAAATCCTTACCACCGTAGACTTGTAGATTGAAGAATTCCAAGGGTCTAAAAACACAAGGGGCCTTGAGCATGCTGAAAATATCAGACAAAGAAACATCACACGGTTGGAATTTGCGTTTGCAGGAAAAAATGAAAAGAAAAGAAAAATCCGGCCTTGGACAAACAAAGTCCATGTCGTGGAACCCCTCAAACATCATATACTACAGAGCACCACAGAAGTATAGAAGATAAAAATTCCCACCAGACAGATAGATCATAGAGGCATAAAATGTATAGAAGATAAAAGAAATAAAAGCAAAACAAATACAGCAACAAACCCACCCCTAGGAGGACTAAATCCTTGCTTCCTGAAGCTTTCTTCGAGGACTTCACGACTTGTCTGCAAATTTTCAAAAAGCAACACAACACCGATCAAGAACAAAGTCGCAAAATTAGGGTTGTGGTAAATTGAAGAATTGATTGGTTTGGTTGAGAAACAAAAACAATTAATCAAAATATTCAAGGCGAACAATCATTTGAATGTCTAATCAATAATATCATCGGTATATAAATTCTCAAAAAGCAACACAACACCGATCAAGAACAAAGTCGCAAAATTAGGGTTTTGGTACATTGAAGAATTGATTTAACGGACGCACCTGTATTGCCTTGCCGTCCCAGCTTCTTTTCTTCATGTCGAATTTTGTATATCTGCGCGCGTTTCTTCGGTAAAAACCAAGTAAAAAAAAAAAACACCAATCCTCTCTTTTCCTATTGGAATGAGGATTCTCTTCGAATCTTTTTTGTGAGGATCCTGACGTTGGAATTTTTTTTTATTGTTATCGGAACATAAATGCAATACCACTTGTTTTTATATAAGTAGTGAAAAATAGAGGATTTTTCCGTCAAACTGACAAACAAACCGTGTGATATAGCGGATGTGGTCCATCAGCCGGTCCATAGTCTGACAAGTCTCCCGGTGGATTTCATGCTTCTGTCCTCAATAGCCAACCACGAAAATGACTTTGAATTTTAGTTGCAGCAGAAAGCTGATAGAGGAGAACGACAGACAGAAAAATTCTTCCACGCAAGCTGAATTTTAACTGCTGCTCTTACTTGAAGATCACGCTCAACACTTTCTTGGCAGAGATTGCAAGATTTATCCACAATAGCAACCCCATGAATGTATCTCAACCTTACAAGCCACCCACGAATATATCTTTGGACAACAATGGCAGCTTTGACTAGATCAGGAGCAGATATATCATGAGTTACAATACTTCCTCCCTCATAATTGCTTTTTCAGTATTTTCTGCCCTTACTTGAAGATCACGCACAACATTTTCTTGGCACAGATTGCAAGATTTATCTACAAGAGCAACCCCATGAATGTATCTCAACCTTGCAAGCCACCCACGAATATATCTTTGCACAACCATATAAAGGGATCCCGTGCTATTCAAAGGACAACCATTGCAGACGACTGGGAGTAGTGAAGAAGCACCTGCAACAAACCAATGCCAATGCCATTAACATTTGTAAGTATAGGTTTCTATCCAAAAATAGGGCGTGCAATATATGTAAACAAAATGGGTAAGAACCAGTTGGGGAAGGTTGTAGTAATATACCTAAGAGTCTATGAGGAATAGCACTTTTGATTGTTGTTGTAGCCCGTCTTTGACACGATAAGCAACTTCTGATCAACCACCCACGGCAGTATCTCTGAAATTTGTAAGCACACTACTGAGACATGATACTTACACAGTATAAAATAAAAGCGGAGAAAATAATAGGCACCCATCTGGATTATTTAGATCCAACTGATCTGTGAAACAGAAAAGAACGATTAAAGGCCAATTTCTCTTGCAACTCTAGATCATGTAAAGATAATACCAACAGGTAGCTGCAAATTTCCCTAAATAAAGCAGTTTATTTACAGTAAGAAATTAAAAGATGCAGACCATAAACCAAATCAATAAAATAAAATCTAATTAGAACAGTTGTTAACACAAAAAAAAAAAAGCTACAATTAACAACCCAAAATATTTCATAAACTTTCATAACGTTTCTTGCCATGAAAGAAACAAAGATTCAGAGGACTGGACCTTGTGTACAGCGACATCGGCCGGCCACGACGAGTCGCAATCCCTCTTCCGCGTGTGTTGCGTTACAATGCGATCTCCATCCACGGACAAACTGCAGCCGCAGAAGGTAGGGTTTTGGAAGAGGAACTTGAGCCAGACGGAGAGAGATTTGAGCGAACGCCCTTCCTTGATTTGGGCCTTGCGAGACCACTGCGAGTGCTCGAGCTTGAAAACGTTGAGTTCCCGGGCCACCGCCTTTGTGCGGCCATAGTTCGACGGAGCGAGAGACGGCCGGCGGTGAAATGACGAAGAACTTCCGGGGTAATGCTTCGAGCTCAAGAAATCGGGGCAAGTGGAATAGAAATCCGAGATGCGCGATGGGCGTTTTGGGGTTTCGACCTCGGAAATGTCTTTCAAGAGAGTGGACAAGTTTCTGTACGGCGACGGAGACGGCGGTGGTTCTTGGCCTTCCATTGAGGGTTTCGGGAGTTTTTTGGGAAAAACCCGTTTTGGGGTTTTGAACTCGGAAATGTCTTTCAAGAGAGTGGACGAGTTTCTGTACGGCGACGGAGACGGCTGCGTACACGGCGACGGAGACGGTGGTGGTTCTTGGCCTTCCATTGAGGGTTTCGGGAGTGTTTTGGGAAAAACATTTTTTGGGGTTTTGAACTCGGAAATGTCTTTCAAGAGAGTGGACGGGTTTCTGTACGGCGACGGAGACGGCGGCGTACACGGCGACGGACACAGCGGTGGTTCTTGGCCTTGTTTCGCGCGTTTTTTTGGGCAAGGAAAAGCGAAAATGGGGTCTTGAATTTTCACTGGACTTGACATTTTTTTACTTTTTTTTTAATTTGACAACGGTTTGACGTGAATTTAATAAGCAGGACAAGCGGGGGAAAGGCTATCAACTTTTAAGCGATGCTCGACATAGTGGACCAAAAGCAACATTAACACCTAAATTTCAAAGCCCAAAAGTAGCATAATATGGGTCTTCAGCCACAACATGCGAGTCCAATACTAATTTTTTGCATATATAAATTTTACAAAAGTGATAGTGATTTCATTAACTAGCAAAAACAAATACAAAGCTTACCATATGAATATATTTTTCAGTGACCAATTCATTGGTATGGAAATAATTTGCCATATTTGGCTACCACAAGCACTATCAATACTAGCACAAGCACACATGGTTACATTCGCTACAAATGCGGCAGACGCAACGATCCTAAACAAGCCACATGTAATGTCACCACCAACAAGCGAGACCACATCAAACCCTCGCTGACAAGCAATACCACATCACTCGCTAGACGCGGTACAAACAAAACTTATACTAATCCGATAATTAAATCCTCCCGTCCCTGAATTTCACTATTTTAAATTCATTATTTCGTATGTGGCTACGACGCATTTATACTTACAGCGTATAAATTTTTTCGATAAGCAAAAAGACAAAAATGCCCCCTATTGTACTAAACGGAATTCTTTATGGACACACTTGATCCTTTCATATTTTCCACATTTCTTGGCATGTTTGGGTAGTACTCGTCGATATGAACGCATGGGTGCAAGCGGAACGTAATTCGGAGCTATAACGAAGATTCTACGAAGCTTTGAAGTCAAGGGCATTTTAGTAATTTTACGATTATTTGGCACATGATCTTTTTGGCCGTTGGATATTGACGCGTGGGGAGCCTTCCCCACATTTCTGGAACCTTCTCTCTCCTATCTCTAATCACCCCCGTGCATCTCTCTTCTCTCGTCACTCTCTTCTCCCCCGTGAAAACCAAACCAACATAAATCATTTTTCCGGCGAATTGGACCCTTCAAACTTCATCATCATGTTCTTCTTGAACCTAAAAAGGTGAAACCGTCATTGGTTTCGTGAAAATTCAAGCAGAGATACGAGTTCGTGGACTTTGGTTTGAGCCGTACTTTCCGCGTCGATTTCAGACATCTTCCAGTCATCTTTTGAACTCCAAATAGGTGTAAATCGATTCCTCATGTTCTGTAGATGAATTTTCATTTTTGGATCATTGATTTTGGTTAATAAATGACAAAGTTATAATGATTTAATGTTTACTCAATAGTCCGGCTAGTTACCCAATATTCTCGCGGACCTGTTGCATTTTCGGCCATTTTACGGCCGCCTTCGGCCACCATTTGACTTTCACCTGGTAAATTATGGTTCCTCCCATCTCTAGCCTTGCTTTGATATATTATGCGTCATATTTGGTCGGGGAATGAAGAAGTTTTGGAGCTTTAAAGTTTATCCAAATTTCCCAGGAAAATCGAGTTGACCCGACCCGTGACCGTATCCGACCCATATGGAATATTCTGTGGATTACTTTTGGAGAATAATATTCCCCAAGTTGACTTTTTTCAAAAAAAATTCGGGAACCTTCTTAGGGTATTTTAACGTGCTAAATCCATTTTTGACATCCGTTTGGTGAAATTCAAACATTTTAACGTAGTTTCGTAATTGATCTCCACTTGAATTTGTGATTGGCGTAGATCCGACCGTCGGATTGTAACGGAATTTTAATATGCTACTCCGTATGGATCCGTTGAGTGGTTTGGAATCCATCGTACTTTGCAATTCCGTTGAGAGGTTTATAATCATATCCTGCTTTGGATTTCGTTAAGTGGTATAGGATCGTATCCCACTCGGATTCTGTTGAATGGTCCAGAGAACTTGGAGTGCTTAGGTTGCCCCTATGCCTTTCCGTGTACCTTTCCTCACATTTCTTTTGGAGTTTCATTTTGGGAGCCTACGAGCGTGTACTGTTGTTGTACAATTGTTGTAAATGCTTTGGCGCAAAGGAAATTTTGTTCTTTTGTTGGTCACGGGTTTGAGTCGTCGAACCCGGTAAAGTCAAATTCCAGCCAGCTGGAATTAGCGTAGTTAGTATTATAGGCTGCTGCAGGCATACACACATACGAATAATGTCAGTTATCAACTATCAAGTTACATTCACCCCAAAACCATACTATATATAGAGACCATCCGCCACTGAACCTGTCATATCCTCCTAGTGACGCCAGTTCTGGATCATGTCGAATTCAAATGAAATTTCATCTTCGTCTGGATAACCAGGGAATTTGCAGAACAGTGGCGAATCCACACATAACTCCTCCATGGGGGATGAAAGAGCGCATCGAATAGCCAGCAGTCCTCCCAAAACAATACATCCGAAAAACAGAATATTATTAAATACACTCAAACTTACTTTCAACTTCTATCTTCTTTTCTCCGAATGGCACCAGATAACTAAAACATTTTGGTCATTGCGCTAAAAGTTCACTGCAATCCCTTGATCTCAAGGTTAAGTTTTCTTCAAGTCTAAAAACCATATCATATCTAAGCAGAGTCTAGTGATAAAACATTTCAACGATCCACGCCATTCATCTCAACATAATATCTAAGCAGGCCAGAGTCGTCAGACCACTGACTCAGAGATCTTCAATGCGTCCAGCCTCTCTCTTGTTCCACAGTAGGTCATGCGAAGAAACCCGTCTTCATCCCTGTTTTCCTCATCAATTGCAGACATCAAGGTTCCTGTAACAACATTGGAGGAATTACTGAGAGGTATTAAATCCACCGCTAATTTGGGCACAAGATGGATATTATCAAGTGGCATAAAACAAAAATGAGTTGAAGCTCTACTCACCATTGGGATGTTCAGTGTTCTTGAAATACACAAACAAAGGATCTTTACATGCAACCTTTGTCTGAAGATACCCAACAAACTCCTCAAGAGTGACATCACCGTGGACTTGGTATCTGCAGTCAAAAAACACAAGAGAAGCGATAAAACTACATGAGAACCCCTTCTTATAAGACCAACTCCTATATATCTCCCTTCTTTTTTCATTCGATTTCGTTAACATATGAAATACCAAGAGCATGCACGAAAAAGGGGGCAATACAAATCATGATACCCAAGGCAAAACGGAACCGGAAACTAACTTCTTTGCATCAAGTTCAGGAAGGCCACTGCTTCCATCCTTCTCCACAATCACCTGCAGGGACGCTCGTATTAGAACATGGTATATGCCCCGTCTTAATAAGCATAACTGATGTGCAGTGAAATTCTCACCAGTTCATGAGACGGATACCACTGCCTCATTTTCTTAGCATCTGAAATACGCCGTTCCAGCACCTCCAAAGTACCCCTGAACATTTGTCAAAAACATTGATGATAAATCAGCAATCCCATTCCACTGTAGCAAATACCAATCAAGAGAGGAGAACTAAAGCGCAAGGGAGGGACTGGGCAACTAACTTTGTAAAATCATTGAAAATTCCAAGCTTCTCCGCGATCACGTGCATAGAGGCTCAAATTAGAACAGAGTGTATCCACTGAAAGTGTGGGGCGTAAACTTACTTAATTCAGCTTAAATTCTTACCTCATCAAATGAGCGTTTTAAAGCATTCCTACCGTCTAACTCTTTAATCCTCTGCAAGAAGGCTCAAATTACAACAGGGAATATCCACTGAATGACTAGGAAGTACATGTGTCTGATTCACTGAAATTCTTACTGGTATATCACCGGATCGAAAGACTACTCCTTCCTTTTTCCAATCTGCACTGTAGGTCACGCGAAGAAATCCATCATCGTCCTTGTTTTTCTCATCGATAGCAGACATCAAGGCTCCTGTAACAACATTGGAAGAATTAGAGTCATGGCAACCGTAGACAATCTGGGATCAAGATGGATATTATCAGGCTGACCTAAAACAAGAATGAATTGCAGCACTGCTCACCAGTTTTGGGGACTGTGTTCTTGAAATAGACATAGATAGGCCATTCTGGTTCAAAGTCGGAAAGAAATGACCGAATGCAATCAGCAAATTCTGGGAGAGTCATATCAGGTTCGAGTAGGAAGCTGCAGTCCAATGCAGGGGACAGGCAACAGAACCATGTGAGAAGTGAGAACCCTAAGGCAAGCTAGGGAGGCATCCTATTCCATTGTAGCAATATATATCAAAGACGACCAAAGCAAAAAGTAAAGGGAAAACGAACTGGGTCACATTAGTAATGTCAGGAATGTCGCTGCTTGGATCCTTCTGCACAATCACCTGTAAGGAGGATGAAATTAGAACCTGGTATTACGCCTCCGCTGAATGCGTGCATTGGAGGAAGTGAACAGATATGATGGGGTAGAATTCTTACTGGTGTACAAAGTGGATGAGCGTCCCTCAATTTCCAAGCATCTAATGTACGCGGTTTGTTTGCCTCCAAAATCCTCCTGTACCTGTATCAGAAGCGCATAGATGAAAAAGGAAGAGTCATCCAATCCCATTGCAGCAACGCAAAATAAAGATAACTAAAAGCAAAAAGGGGTACAAGAACAAACTCACTTCGCCTCATTGTAGTGTTGAGGATACCGACGACATTTCTCCGCGAAAGATTTCTCGTCCGCAAGGGCAGCCTTGTCAGAAATCACAATTAGTGCATATAGGGAGGACGAGCATTGCGTAAAAACATATTTGGTTCGGCTAAATCCTTACCACCGTTGACTTGTAGATTGAAGAATTCCATGGGTCTAAAACCACAAGGGGCCTTGAGCATGCTGAAAATATCGGACAAAGAAACATCACAATGTTGGAATTCGTGTTTGCAGGAAGAAAAAAAAAAAACAGAAAAAACAAAGTCCATGTCTTGGAACCCCTCACACATCATATACTACAGAGCACCACAGAAGTTTGGTACAATCCAATTTAGCGGAAAAAAGAGAGTTGGATACAAAAATAAGAATTCCCACCAGACAGACAGATCGTAGAGGCATAAAATGTATAGAAGAAAAAAGAAATAAAAGCAAAACAAATACAGCAACAAACCCACCCCTAGGAGGACTAAATCCTTGCTTCCTGAAGCTTTCTTCGAGGACTTCACGACTTGTCTGCAAATTTTCAAAAAGCAACACAACACCGATCAAGAACAAAGTCGCAAAATTAGGGTTGTGGTAAATTGAAGAATTGATCGGTTTGGTTGAGAAACAATAACAACCAATCGAAATATTCAAGGCAAACAATCATTTGAATGTCTAATCAATTATATCATCGGTATATAAATTCTCAAAAAGAACACAACACCGATCAAGAACAAAGTCGCAAAATTAGGGTTTTGGTAAATTGAAGAATTGATTTAACGGACGCACCTGTATTGCCTTGCCGTCTTTTCTTCTTTTCTTCATGTCGAATTTTGTATATCTGCGCGCGTTTCTCCGGTAAAAACCAAGTAAAAAAAAAAAACACCAATCCTCTCTTTTCCTATTGGAATGAGGATTCTCTCCGAATCTTCTTGGTGAGGATCCTAACGTTGGAATTATTTTTTATTGTTATCAGAACATGAAAGTAATACCACTTGTTTTTATATAAGTAGTGAAAAAGTGAGCATTCTCACAGAGAGAATTCGAAGAAGATCCTTATTTTTGGCATTGACCCAACGACGTTGTTGGGCCGACGTGTCATAGTAATTTTATAGTATTGGGCTCGCATGTTGTTGGGCTCAAGGCCCACTAGGCCCACTTTCGGGTTTTGAAATATAAAAGAAGACGTTAGGGTTGTTTAGGTCATTAAGCGTCGTCTATCGCCATTCCCCGCTCTGTCTTCTGGGCATTTCAAATTCAAACCAAGTCAAAATTCAAACCCCTCTTCGCGTTTCTCAGCCACAGACTGAGCCAGCGAAGCCCCCAATGGAAGGCCGAGAGCCACCGCCGTCTCCGTCGCCGTCGCCTTACAGAAACCCCTCCACTCTCTTCAAAGACATCACCAATTTCAAAACCCCTAAACCCTCATCGCCGTCGCCTTACAGAAACCCCTCCACTCTCTTCAAAGACATCACCAATTTGCAAGGTTGAGATACATTCATGGGGTTGCTCTTGTAGATAAATCTTGCAATCTGTGCCAAGAAAATGTTGTGCGTGATCTTCAAGTAAGGGCAGAAAATACTGAAAAAAGCAATTATGAGGGAGGAACTATTGTAACTCATGATATATCTGCTCCTGACCTAGTCAAAGCTGCCATTGTTATCCAAAGATATATTCATGGGCTTGATCTTGTAGATAAATCTTCCAATCTCTGCCAAGAAAGTGTTGCGCGTGACCTTCAAGTAAGGGCAGCAGTTAAAATCCAGCTTGCGTGGAAGAATTTTTCTGTCTGTCATTCTCTTCTCTATCAGCTTTCCGCTGCAACTAAAATTCAAAGTCATTTTCGTGGTTGGCTAGTGAGGAGGAGGTCTCACATTAAAGGGCAAGCAATAATAAAAATCCAAAGTGTTTATCGAATGTCAAGATGCTGGAAGGCTTATCAGCAGTACAAAATTGCAGCTGGTTCAGCCACCGTCATTCAATCTTATATACGTGGATGTTTTGCCCGGAAAGGCGCTGAAAATCATAGGCTTCTCATTGTTGCAATCCAAGTAAGTATTTCTCCATGTCTTCTGAGCATATAGGGCAGCAGAAACCTTGTCATATTAAAGCAATCTTTTGTATGCAACTTCATTCTATTGTAGTGGTATTTATACTGTCTAGATGAGTGACTATAATTTTCTCCCCTTTTCTATTGTGCAAGTATCATGTCTCAGTAATGTGCTTAAATGATTTCAGAGATACTTCCGTGGTTGGTTGATCAGAAGTCAATTCTCGTGTCAAAGACAGGCTGCAATAAAGATCCAAAGCTCTATTCGAGGCTTGATATGGCGTCAATCATTTCATCGTCATAGACAAGCTGCAGTGGAAATTCAACGGATAGTCAGGGGGCAGATTAGTCGAAATAGGCTCTTAGGTATATTACTACAACCTTTCCCGACTGCTTCCTACACATTTTATTTATTTGTGTTGCATGTTCTAGCTTTGAATATAAACTTATAGTTACAAATGTTTATGGCTTTGGTTTGTTGCAGGTGCTGCTTCACTATGCCCAATCGTCCGCAATGGTTGTCCTTTGAATAGCACAGGAGCCCTTTATATGGGTGCTGAACTAAATAAAGTTTAGTTTGGGTTCTGACTTTTGGGGGAGAAAAGGGAATCGAGAAGATTCGAACCCGAGTGGAGAGGGTCACAGAAGTGCTTGATTTTTACCGATGACATAGTTCTTTGTTCTACATGTGATTTTATGGCTATTTTATTTCATGAAGCAAAATTTGCACCATAACCAAATGCGATATGAGGAACAAAGAACATTCGCGAAGTGAAATCCAACAGTGGTCGAGAGGTTCATCAATTGCTTGGTTACCATGTTGTTTGTTTCGCGGAGATGTGTTTTACAGATTGCTGGTGTTCTCAATCACGTCTAGGTTTTCTTTCTCACCTGCTTCTGTTTTCTTCTTATATTCTTGGACTACAACACTCTCGAAACGATCGACAGAAGTGGGAGGAAGAACGCAGACAATGCTGGGACACATACGCTGAAAGGCTTACCGGGTTTTTGACGCGACACTCAAAGAGGAAGCTTTCATGGAAGCTGGGGTATCGAGGGAGATGAAACCAGAATATATACCAGTGACTGTGGGGAAAGATGACATTCCTGACATATGCATGAATATATATCGTGTCTCTGGTATTATGCATATGTCAGAAATGTCCTCTTTCTCCGGTCATGACAGCCATGACAAAGCCTAGTTATATAAGGACGAGCAATATTGGATAGGGAAGATTTGTCCTCAGTTGTATACGACCTACGACCTTCGCAAGGAGTCAAGGTTCGACGAGTTCGATTTCAACATTTTGCTTTGAAAGCTTGAATACATCCCACCTGCTATGACCGGTGTTAGCTTTGTATAGAAAACCCCAAAACAAACCACAACCCCACCACCCTCCCTGCAAATACCAACTCAAACAAGGAGACCAAACCCACAAATTGTCGCCCAACAACAAAATCTAAACCAACAAATTTGGGTTTGACCCAAATGTTGGGGGGCCCGCCCTTTTTTTTAAGGAAGTTTTAACGAAAAGCTCGTGGTGCTGTTCATTTTAACGAAAAATTACATTTTTACACTAAAAAGTCAATCATGATACTATTCACTTTACCTTTTATTTTGTCATTATCGTTAAAACTCAAAGTTTTCAAGCTATTTTCATTAGTTTTTTTTTTTAAGGGCACGGGACTTTGGATGTAATGGTCGATAGTTGGCTTCGTGTGTTAGGGGGGGCTGTATGTCCAACGGTAATCTGGATTAACTACGCGCCATTCGATTTTTGGATCATTGGTTATCAACAAATCCATATTACAATCTTTTTTTCAGCAATCTTTTAAATTTGATCTAATGGTCCGTTTCAAATCCAACGGTCAAACTAGTAGAATAAACTTTTTTAGACAGGCCCATTGTAATATTATTTTCATCGCCAAACTATGTCTCGAATATAAACTACATCTCAATGTCGTTGAAATAACAAAGTGTATCACTCTAGATACGAGGATGATGGGTTTTATGATTTTGTTAAATTCCCCTTGTACAGAGGAAAGGGAGGAAGGAAAATTTATTGTTGTTTGGTGATTGTTTAGGTAGTTTTCACTGGTAGATATTGAAGTTTGGCTGGTGTATGTATTGAAGTTTGCTTGGTTGTTTGTGTATTGAAGTTTGGTTGGTGCGTGTATTAAAGTTTGGTTGTTGGTTTGTTTATTAAAGTTTGGTTGATGTGTGTATTGAAGTTTGGTTAGTGTGATTTGTTCGGTTTTCTAAATTATCGGAATTTAAATTTATTTGGGTTAAAACATTCATAAAATAAAATTAAGATAACCTAAAGTTAAAAAAAAAATCTTAGCAAAAGAAATAAATTAAGATAACCTCATGTTTCTCTTTGTCTTAAGCCCATTGTCTTTTTTTATTGACTACAACCTGATAACTATGTGTCTTTTTTCTTCGCTACAACTTGATAATATAATTCACTAGGAAAATTACCTAATAATGTTTGTACGTAATATTTCACACGTTTTGTGTTTCCAAAATTACCTTCATATCAATTTTATTTGTTGGCTTCCTAAGATCAAATCACCATGAAAAGGATCATCTACTTGACATGAACTCACCAAACCCACCTCTCCACATTAGTAGTCAAATGGAACTTGAATCCATGACTGGTCCAAGAATAAATTTATATCGAGTTCGACATTCACAATATTCGAACTTAAAACCCTAAACCATAAGAGCATCTCCAATATCACCACCTTCAGAACACATTAAGGAGCTCCACCAACCCTAAACCATAAGATTTCAACTTTTTGCATCTGTTGGATTGATTTTCTTATCTTAATTTCATCCGTCGGATTGTTATCTTTTTTTTTTTTTTTACTTTTTATATTTTCACTATAAAAGTAAGATCTCTATATCTTTCACATCCATCATTTTCCTTTTTATAAAAGTAAGGTCTCTATAGCTCATCTTCCGTTGACAATAGCTTGATGGTTAGGACGGCTGTTTGCGAGGAGAAAATCGTAGGCAAATTGGATATCTTTTTTGGAATGGGGAGTTTTGGGGATTTGGGGATTTGGGTAAGTAATACTTTAATTGACTATTTGGATCCACATCTATTTCTTCAATATATTTTAGTTAAATATATGTGGTTTTTGCTTGCTTTTTATACATGAATTTTCTTTAGAACTTATCACGCCACCTGTGACTAAATGCGAGTCCAGGTATTCCATACCCCCGTTCACGTCTACTGCAGCCGCACTTATTTCCTGCAGGTTCATACCACAGTTGACCTTGAACACGACCTTGTCCGTCACTCTGCATCCTCCCAAACCTGCACGGACCTCATTTACAATGTGTCACTGTCAATGTCAACGTTGCTCTAGTACTGTCATAACCTCATCATGAGCAATTCCCTTTCTTGAGCATTGGGCTTATCTCGCCTGCACAGCGGAACCCTCCGGTAGGGGCGGCGAGCTTTAATTTTTTGTTTGAACGTGCCTGCACGTCTACCTCCACCCCCAGCCCCACCGCCTCATTTGTTTGGACAAAGGCGTCCTATGCCTTTTCCCGCCCCAAGAAGACCTCCATCATCATCAGCTCGGGCTCCACCACCCAAGCCGCCTTTGTGGGAGGCCGCACATAACGTTTGGTAGGAATATTGTTTGCAAAACCAATCAATCAAGAATCATGAACAAACCATGGAAAACTAGTCCAATCAAATCCATACTGTAAATGCATGATCAGATACAAAGATATGTACCAATCAAATCCATATTGTAAATAAATGATTTGCAAATCTACGGAACACAATCGATAATGTCATCGATATATATAAATTTTATCATCGGATTTAACAGACGCACCTGTATTGCCTTGCCTTCCCTTCTTCTTTTCTTCATGTCGAATTTTGTATATC